AAATGCCTCCTTTGTATCAGATATTCTCTGAGTTACATTTAATGGGACTCTGTAAATATTAACTGATACTGTTAGGAACTCTGGCTTTGAATTGCTACAGAATGGAATGGTTTTGTAGTTATGGGCCACATAAGACACTCTGAATTCAAATGCTCCTTCAATAAAACCATCTGACTTAATCACCGATTGCTGTTTTTTGCTAACCCAGGCATCTATTTAAAGAGGATCACGGATGACTCAGTTGTGTGACTGAGGTCGCAAAGGACACTGCTAGTCAGATAGCACTGCCCAGCAGGAGGTTCACATTCCGTACCATTGAAGCCAACACAGAGTTTTTCTCTTTTTGTTTTTCTTTCTTTCTTTCTTTTTCTTTCTTCCTTCCTTCCTTCCTCTCTCTCTCCCCATCCCTCCCTCCCTTCCCCTCCTTCCTCCCCCCTCCCTTCTCTTCCCTCTTCCTCCCTCCTTCCCTCCCTCCCTCCTTCCTTCTTTCCTTTTGAGACCTGGCTTCACTATGTAGCCCAGACTGCCCTTGAACTTTTGCTCCCCCTACTTTGGGCTCCTGAGTGCTGGGATTACAAGCATACATCACTACATCTGGCACATCCTACTTTTTCTTAACAGCTCAGCAATTCTTCCCTAATGTGCAGAAGCCTCTGTGTACAGACCTCATCTCTTTTCAGTTCCTCTTGCTTCAATACCTCCTGGTCTGTCTCTTTTGCTTGTGTGTGTTATTCTCTGTGCAGCAAAATGTGCAGCTCAGGATGATTTTTTCTGGCCAGGACCGAGGCCCTGTGCATATAAATTTGGACTTCATCAATGTCTTCTGCTGATTTCTTTCCCTCTTCTAGAGTTGAAATGCAGAATTCATAGCCAGCAAGAGCCAATTCCTGTCTGCACTGGGCAGCATAAATACTAGCCAAGTTCAAGGAGACTTCAGTTACTTTGCATTATCTTCCTGCCTCATGCCCTCTTCAAGAAGGTTTAACTCATCATTGGTATAAAAAGTTGTTTTGAGCTGGGCACCGGTGACTCATTCCTGTAATCCTAGCTACTTGGGAGGCCAAGATCAGAAGGATCCCACGTTGAGGCCAGGCCAGGCAAATAGCTCACAAGACCCCATCTCCAAAATAACCAAGGCAAAATGGACTTGGAGATGTGGCTCAAGCTGTCGACCACCTGCTTTGCAAGTGTGAAGCCCTGAATTCAAATCCCAGTCTCACAAAAAAAAAAAAATTTGTTTTGCGTGGTTGTGTTTGCCGATCTGTTTGATCCATAGGGAGGCGGGAGAGGAAAAGCAAATGAGAGAGAATAAACAGCATTGAAACACATTGCCTCTGTGTAGGGAGGACGGGATGATGAAATGCACTGTAAGCTGGTGAGTAATGGGGGGGTGGGTGGTAGAGAAAGAGTAAGTAATAGAGGGGGGTTAGTCTAATCAAAGTATTGCATATCCACGTGTGACACAGCAAGGCAGCCCCCCCCCCCGCCCCCCGCCGACAATCAATGTACATGTAAAAAAATGAAGGGCAGGAAGGTAAAACAGGTTCTCTCCGAGGGTGGGAACCAGTGAAGTGGGGAGGGATAAATGGAGAGGGTGAAGGAGGGTAAATATGGTCGATGTACTTTGCATGAAAAAAGAACAATGAAACCTGATGAAATTGTTCTCAGAAGGAGGAATGGAGGAGAATGATAGAAGGGTGAATCTAATTAAGATACATTGTAAATATATTCGTAAATGTCACGATGAAACTCCAGAATACAACTAATACGTGATAATAAATACTATAAAAAAAGGAAAAAACTCCCTTGCTCTGCACTTCAAGCTGACTCGTGTAAATGTTAGATTGGTCATCAAATTGCTAATGTAAGCACTGGCCTTCCTGTTACCGCTCTGATGGGCAGCAGTGCCATGCAGCATTACCTCAGCCTCCTCCACCTCATCTTTCATCATGATCCACTAGGCTCTCTTCACAGCTGGGTGATCTCAGCCTCCTTGGCCTGGTCCACTGTGTCCTTGGGCCAGCCCTGTCCACTCCCTGCCGGGGGAACCAGGAGCCCCGCCCAGGCCAGCTGTGTGGGGTGACTCCTCAGCACTGCTGCCTGTGTTCGCAGGAGTCCCAGGCTTGACTCAGGAGCTGGTACTAGTCTTTCCTTTTTAGAACGATGAACACAAACAGATAAAGAATTCTGGTCAGGAATGGGTATGAAACCAGTGCAAAAAAATAGCTGATTATTATTGAATGTTATCTTAGGTAGCCAAATTAAGGAGTTTTGTTGAACTGCACTAATAAATGTTTCTTAAATTTCTGGACCTCTCCTGTTTTTAAAATGAGTCAATTTTCAGTTTCTTCAGAGAAGGACTAATTCACTATGTAGTTCAAGCTGGCCTCGAACTTCTGATCCTCCTGTCTCTGCCTCCCCAGTGCTGGGATTATAGATGTGAACCACCACATCCAACTTCTTGCTGCCTTTTAAAACAAAAAGAACCAAGCCAGGTGCCCATGGCTCACACCAGTAATCCTAGTTACTTGGAAGGTTGAAATTGGGAAGATCTTGGTTCTAGGCCAGCCCAGGCAAAAATGAGACCCCATTTCAAACAACAGCTAGGCACAGTGGCCTGTACCTGTCATCCCAAGCTACATAGGGACTGAGATTGGGAGAATCACGGTTCCATCCCAGTGATGGCAGGAAGCTTGATAGAAGGACTGTGGTATAGGCTGGCCTGGGCAAAAAGCCAGACCCTATCTTCAAAATGACTGGAGCAAAAAGGATTGAAGTTGTGGCTCAAACAGTAGAGTGAGACCTACCTCTCAAGCATGAAGCCCTGAGTTCAAATCTCAGTCCATCCAAAAACAGAATAAAAAGAACTAGTTATTTAGGGTCTAGTAAGATGAAGGGAGGCTTCCCTGTGTTTGGTCAAAAATCTCCTTAAATCTTTTTGTAATAAGTGGTTTTCTACGGCCCTATAAGCACGTATGATAAGCCGCTCCCGGGCTACAGTAAGTGCGCCATGTACATTAGTCAAGGTTATAAAAATTTTAACAAATAGGAGTGGGGGTGTAGCTCAGTGGTACAGTGCTTGCCTAGTGAGCACAAGGTCCTGGGTTCTGTCTACAGCACCACCCTACCCCCAAATGGCAGATAAATAGCCCTGGATTCAAAGTGTATGTTACCTGTCCGCTGTTCTCTTGCTTAAGACACAATACAGAGATGGATTGCTGACATCGCCATCTGCGTATACATGGAAAACACTAGCAAGTCCACTACCAGCTCTTCCTCACGGACTAAGTGATTACTTTTTAAAAAGCTAGATGTGTTCCTTTCTAAACCTTTACCTATTTTATTTTTGGTAGGACTGGAATTTGAACTCAGGGCTTTGCACTTGCAAAGCAGGCGCTCTACCGTTACAGCCACACCTCCAGTTCATTTTGCTCTGGTTATTTTGGAGATAGGGTCTTGAACTATTTGTCTGGGCTGGCCTCAAACTGCATTCCTCTGAATCTGAGTTTTCCAAGTAGCTTAGATTATAGGCGTGAGCCACTGGTACACCTCTCTCTCTCTCTAGTTCTGGGATTAAATCCAACATCTTATCCAGGTGTCCTTCCTGTGTCCCCTGCCCCTTCTGTGTGGCTTTACACAAGCTTTACACTTCTCTGCATCTGACACATCTTTTCACTGAAGACACTATATGACAGTTTCTTTTTATTTTTGGTGGTACTGAAGTTTCAACTCAGGGCCTCACACTTGCTGAGCAGATGTTCTCCTGCTTGAGCCACATCTCCAGCCCCCAGGCAGGGCTCTCAGTTTTTCTCATTGCTCTTGTGCGGCTTTATTCGTTTATTTATTTATTTATTTATTCATTTATTATTTATTATGATGACTTCAAGTTCTGGGATTGAACCCAGCACCTTAAACACATGCTGGACAGGTGTCCTTCCCGTGACTTTACACAAGTGAATTCACTTCTCTGCATGTCACACATCTTCACAATGAGGATACTATATTACACGTTGTTTTTTTCTATGGTCCTGGGATTTGAACTCAGGGCCGCACATTTGCCAATCAGGTGCCACTGATTGAGTCACCCCATAGCCCTGTTTTATTGAAGGAGATAACAATCAACAATTGGTTGACGATATGATGTGCAGTAGTTCTTCAGGTCCAAGGGGATGGTCCTGGCATCTGCTAGACTCTAGTGGTGAGGGTCTTCTAACTCCATCCCAACATGGTGGATGGTAATGTGGCAGGAGTTGTGTGTGAGGCAGAGACCACACGGCAAGACAGGAAGCAAGAGCGTTGAGACAGGGGAGCTTGCAAGCCCTTCTCTTGAGAAGTAAACCACCCTGTGGGGCCAGTATTGATCCCTTCCCAGGCACTGCCCCCATGACTGCCACCTTCCACTGGGCCTCACCTCCTAAAGGTCCCACCACCACAACACCGGGACCATACTTCCTGCATGGGCCTTTGAGGAACACCTGAAACCATATTTGAACAATAGCAGTCATCTTTAAAAGCGCCCCCCCCCCACACCTTTAAGAGGCATGCTCAGCTAGGATGGGACCTAAGTGTGTATAAGGAAGATTTTTTCTTTTTTTGGTGGGACCAGGGTTTGAACTCAGGGCTTCACACTTGCAAAGCAGGAGCTCTACCGCTTGAGCCACCCCTCCAATCTGTTTATCTCTGGTTATTTTGGAGATGGGGTCATGAACTATTTGCCCAGGCTGGCCTTGAATCAAGATCCTCCTGATCTCAGCCTCCCAAGTAACTGTGATTATAGGTGTGAGCCACTGATGTCTGACACAAGGAAATCTTTCTTCTCAGAGTGCTGTAGACAGAGAAAGCCATGTAGGATAGATTAGTGTAGCTGTTGTTTCAAATGTCTGGGTCTGGGATGGGTTGGCCCATTCCCGGAGAAATTGTTTTTCAAGAGAGAGAGATTTTGCACTCTGTTCTCTGAGCCTCTTTATTGCCCCGATCTCCTCCCTGCTGGGGTCTCAGTCCTACAGCTGGGGAGACCCTCTTTGGAACATGATTTCAGCATACTCCTCACAGGCCTTCTTGTGCCTCTGCATCTCCCAGGGTCTGAGGAAGTTGAGAGTAGCGTATTGGAGCTCTTCTGAGCTATTCTTGGAGTCCAGGGCTGGGGAAGATGGTTTGGACTCTGGGTAATGGAGGGAAACAAGAGGTAGGTCCTTCCTGTTCTTTGATTCTGGAGGGCGAGTGCCTGGAGAAGGGGTCCGGGGAGGGCTGCTTGGCTTGGCCTTCTGATTCTGTGCCTGAGGGAATAAGGACGATCCATCATTCATTCACTCAACAAATTCTTGGACACATACCATGCACCAGGCCCAGACTTAGGAACTCAGGTGATAGTTGGGAGCAAAATCAAGTCCCTGCCCTCACTAAGCCTGCATCCCATCCTGGGGGCAGGAACACACAATAAATGAGCAAAAATATAATATAATGAGGAAGTGGTAAATGACACAAAGAAAATAAAACAAGGCAAAAAGACAGTGCAAAGGAAGGTGGGATGACTATTTAAAGAGGGAATCCAGGATCCCTATCTCCCGGTACTATTCACAGTAGCCAATCGTCCACTGATGGATGAGAGGATAAAGAAAGTGTGGTACGTCCACACAATGGAACATTATTCAGTCATAAAAAGGAAGACATGTGACAGCCTCAGTGGAACTGGAGAATATTATTGTACAGCGAAATAAGCCAAGCACAGAAGGACAAATGCCACACAATCTCACTTATATGTGGAACCTAAAAAATGTTTTCATAGAAGGAATTTGACAGTGGTTACCAGGGAGTGGAGAGGGCAGGAGAAGACCGGATGTTAGTGGGTTACAAGTAGAAGAGAGAAATAAATTCTCATGTTCTATTACACGGTAGGGTGATTGTAGTTAATGAGAACGCAATGTGTATTTCAAAATAGAAGAGGGATTTTTTTTTTTGCAGTACTGGAGTTTGAACTCAGGGCCTAGCCCTTGCTAGGCAGGTGCTCTTACCACTTGAGCCACTCCGCCAGCCCTTTTTTGTGAATTTTTTTTTCAAGATAGGGTCTCATGAACTATTTCCCTGGGGCTGGCTTCGACCCACAATCCTCCTGATCTCTGTCTCCCAAGTAGCTAGAATTATATGTGTGAGCCTGACTACAAGAGGAATTATTTAAATCACCTTACCACAAACAGACAATGAATGTTTGAGGTGAAGCATGTGCGCATTACCCAGATTTGATCAGTGCATGAGGTCACACATTGTGTCCTATAAGTATGTATAACTATGATGTGTGCAAGAAAAGATAAAATATAAGTAAGTGGAGGGCTAAGCATGGTGATGCATGTCACTAATCCCAGCATTTGAGAGGCTGAGGTAGGAAGACTGTCAAATTTGAAGACAGCCTGGGCTACATAGCAAGATCCTGTCTCAAAATCTCCCAAAATAAACAAGTAATAAATGAACAGGACATTCAGCTCTCTATAAGGAGATGATTCTTGCTTTGTTTGTTTGGCAGTGCTGGGATTTGAACTCAGAGCCTTCTGCCTGCAAGGCAAACGCTCTCCCACTTGAGCCACACCTGTAGCCCAAAGTGATGATTCTTAGGCAAAGAACATGAAGGCAGGTATGGCGGCTCAGCATGAAATCCTGGCTATTTCAGAGGCAGAGATTGGGAAGGGTCTTGGGGATGGGGTGGGGGAAGGGAAAGCTCATAAGATCCCATCTCAACCAATAAAAAGCTGGGCTCAGTGGCGTGTTCCTGTCATCCCAGCTATGTGAGAAGCGAAAATAGATTTCCAGGTCGACGTGGGCGGCATAAACACGAGACCCTATTCAAAAAACAACTCAAGCTAAAAAAGGGTTGGATGTGTGGCTGCAGTGCTAGGGTTTGAGCTCAGGGCCTCACACTTGCTAGGCAGGCACTCTACCACTTGAGCTACTTTGCCAGCCCTGTTTTGTGCTGGGTTTTTTTGAGATAGGTTCTCTGAAACTATTTGCCCAGAGCTGGCTTCGAACCTCGATCCTCCTGATCTCTGCCTTTTGAGTAGCTGGGATTACAGGTGTGAGCCACCGGGACCCGGCCCTGGGTTGTGTGTTTGAGGAAGAGCAAGATGGCTGGTGTGGATAAGCAGATGAGTCTGAGTGGAGAGGTGACAGAGAGGTCAGGGAGATGAGGGCTTTGGATTTACTCAAAGTGTCATGGGAAGTCACTGGAGGTTTTAGCGGGAAAGAGAGATTTATGATTTATAGTTTTCTTTAACTTCCTATCTTGGAATGATTATAGTCATAGGAAGTCATGAAAATAGTACAGAGAGGTCCTGCCTGCCGATCACCCTGTTTTCCCTGTGATCACATCTTAACTGTGGTACAATACACAGACGAGGATGTTGACATTGGCTTTATCTATCACGGGGCTAGTGTTGTGGGCTGAGCTGAGGTTGAGACTTTAAAGAGGTAATTAAGATAAAGTAAGGCCATATGGTTGGGCCCTAGTCCAGTATCACTTATACCTTCACAAAAAGAGAGATCAGACATGGAGGAGACAGCCACCTGCAAACCAGGGAGAAGGGCTGGGATGAAGCTCTGTCGCAGAGTACTTCATGTGCAAGCCCTGGGTTCCATCCCCAGCACTGCCAAAATAAATAAATGAAGCTAGGATAAGATAAATAAAGAATATACCTCAAGCTTCATTTCTAATCCTCAAACAACTTGCCAACGCAACAAAGAAAGAAATGAAGGCTCAGATGGAGCTAGGATTTGAATCCAGCATTTGATGCTTTTTCCACCTTGATGTCTCTGAAGCAAAGGTAGGGACAGGATAGGGAAGGGGTGTGAGCAGGTAGGAGAAGTGATGCTTGATTTAGACAACAGAAAGAACTGGTAGCATGGCCAGCCACTCACCGGGGAACCAGCCTTAGGGACCACGTTAACGTAATCCAAGATGGTGCTGCCCCGTGAGATCTTGGTTCTCGGCGTCCCTGCCTGGGTCTGTTTCTTCCTCAGCATCCTCACGCTATGGGAATGAGCCCCATGTTGGATGCATTGCTGCACCTGCCCTTTCCCCAGACTTCACACCCCTCTCCCCATGGCTGCTCCTCCCAGCTCACATGATGGCCACGAGGCAGAGGGAAAGCAGAGTTGTGACACCGATTCCCAGAAATGCTCCTTTGGAGAATGCTATGGAGATGGAGCCATTATCTGTACACGGAGAGGGACAGGTGAGTAGGTTTTATCACTGCACATTAAGTGCCTTCAACTGTTTTCTGTTTCCTTGTAGGGAAACATGCTCACATCCTCGGCCAGGTGCCAGGTTTCCCCATGTCTCTCCTGTTCTTCATTCCTCAGACAAACAGTAGGGACTCCAGCCACCCTACTCACCCCTTTCCCAGCCCACCTTCCACACCCCCTGCCCCTCATCTTCCCCTATATCCACCTCCTTCCTCCTAAGCCTGGGCCCCCCAGGGCCTCTGACCTGGCAGCAGCAGGACAGTGGCTCTCTGGACCCTGTGGACATTCCAGGCCTCACAGCTGAGCCTGAGGCCAGAGCTGAGCCCCCCATGGAGGCTCAGGGAGCTGTTGGCCCAGGTCCCCGCTGAGCTGGAGGTGACCGTGAAGGAGGCATTGCTGCTGTCACCATCCAGCAAAGCCTCCCCCATCCACCAGCGCAGGGAGGGGGGTGGCCAGGCTCGGGAGGAGCAGCTGCAGGTCAGACCCTCAGCCCCCCAGGAGCAGAAAGGGCCCAGCAGTTGGGGTGGGTCTGTGGGGAGGAAAGAGAGGATCAGCAGGTGTCCCCTTGTCCCAGGCCCCAGGTGTCCCCTCATCCACTCACAGTGCACAGAGAGGCTCAGAGAGAAATGCTGGGTGCCCAGCAGGTTCTGCGCCTGGC